TCAGACAAAGAGATATAAACAGCAAATAAATATTTGAAAAATGCTCAGTGTCACTGATTTTTTGAGAGATGCAAATTAAAACAACACTGAAATTACACCTTTCCCCAGAAAGAATGCCTACCATCTAGAAATCAAATAATAACTAATGCTGGAAGTGCTGCGGGAAAAAGGAGCCCTTCTCCACTGTCGTGCGAACGCAGACTGTGCAACCTCGGGGGAAATCAGTGTGGAGAAACCTTGGAAAAAGTAGGACTACAGGTCCCATTTGACCCAGCCATTCACCTTTTGGATATCTCACCAAAAGAAATAAAAAACACCAAACCCCAGTGGTATATGTGACCCAAGATCCTAGAAGCAGATTTTGTAGGGAGCCAGATCTTGAAAATGACATAAATGTCCATCGACTGAGGAATGGATAAAAACATCATATTTTCTCATTAATGTGAGAAGCTGAAAGAAGAAACATAAGTCTATGTCTATGTCTATGTTTATAATAATAGTTAAGAATTTATCCTATTCATTTCTGTGAGTTCACTGAAGAGGAAGATTTGTGCCTGTATTGTTTGGACTATTGAGTGCAAATGTCTTGTGTTTTGGGTGAATGATTAGGAGATTAAAATGCATAATATAGGTACCATTGTTGCCCCTGATTAATGTGTTTTGTAATTTTGTCGTAATTTTTTTCCTTGTTCTTCTTTTTTCTTTTTCTTCTTGAAATAAAATGTATTTGGAGAAAAGAGAGAGAGAGAAGAGAGTTCACGTCAGGAAAGCCAGTACAGTGAGCTTCTCCAGGAGATTCAACAGCATACCAGGTTCCCCTGCAGATTAAGCATCTCCCCCAAATGAGCATAACCATTTCCAATAATAAGGCCCTGAGCTCCTCAGATGATGAGAAGAACCAGGTTCAGAGCAGAAAGCCAGCAGGACAGCTCCTCCAGTAGAAGTCACAGAACCAGCTCTTCCTCTTCTATTCTTCTGGGTATGTTGTGGGCGGTGCTCAGGAGGGCCCCTGCACACACAGCACCACACTGATGCAATTTTTCTGGACGTCACAAGTTCACCTCCAGTTGTCACTCCGCCAAACTGTGTAAGAGGCATTTGCTGACAAAAGTGTGGCTACCACCACTGGGAAGCCACCAGCTACATGTGCCTTTGTCCTGCGCAAGGTGTGCCAGAAAATGCTGTTTGTGTCAGGCCACAGAAAGCTGCACTAAGTCCAGTACATGTTGATTCATGTTCAAGTAGCACCTTGACTGTCTCTGGACGTTGATTGACTTCTCTAGCTATGCTATCAGGTGAAGTTTCCTTGACAGCATCAGCTCATTCATGATTTTTCACCTTGAGACTTAACACTCATCTCCCACATCCCTACCACTCTGGGCTCACTGGGACCTTCCCTCCACTTGCCAGGGCACAGCCTCTCTGGCTACACATGACTCTGCCCTGGAGATTCTATTACTAATGTTGCCAGTGAGTTAAAAGCAGAACTCAGTCTATAATGTGGGTCTGAGTCGTTGTCCATGCCTCAGAGACCACAGTTTTTTCATGGCAATCTTGAATATTATTTTTAAGGTATTTCATTAGTTGGAAGCCAGTAGGGAAGTCTCATTTATCTGAGAAAGCAGGCAATTACAAGACAGCTTGTACATTCCTGTTGGGTTTTCAAAGTTACTGCATTAAATTGACTTCCATCAATTTTCCTGTGATGAAACTGGAGGTCTTAGGCAGGGCAGCCTGGAGCCAGTACACAGTGAGGTCTGAGCTTATCCTACTGCCCTCGTGTCTGGCAGCCAGGAATGGGACTTGTCTTACATGTGCCATGTGGTGCTCATGCACGTTTTACCCCAAGAACTCAGCACAGCACCCAGGGGCCACAGCAGTCCCCTTCAAAAACACTGGGTGGATCTGAGTAGTACCCTGGCTCTGAGATTGCTAAGAAATGGGTGGGGGGAAAAAAGTGCTCCTGCCTGGGTTACAGAGCCTGAGGGGACTTTGCCTAGGCTTCTCCAGGCTTCTTCAGGAGCAATAGGAAGGTGCTAACACTGTTTGCAATGAATATTCACGAGTGTGTCACTCTTTATCCCTCAAGTCATGTTCTAGGAAGAGCTATGTTACAAAAGCATCCTCCATGGAGGCATTACCAGATGGGAATCATATGATGCTGTGATGTTTTCAGACATTTAGGACTGATTGTGAGGAGCAATCTCAGCACAGATTCAGAGATGAACAACCACATATGCAACGTGAAAGAAAGCATGAACACAAGGACTCTTTAACCACTGGGTCAGGCCATTGTAGCTCAGTTAGAAAAGGAGGGGATGGGTCACCCCCTCTCACCCTGGCATTCTACACTATCCCCTGTGGCTATTCCCGACTCCATTATCCTAAGAGAGATAAAAAGTAGAATAAGGAAGCTTAGGAGATGCAGATGCCTGAGGTGAGCGCACATTCAGTGTTAGACCTGCTAGCCTGACCTTCTGGTCAGCATTACCCTACTCCCCCCTCACTGGAGGCCTGAAACACCAGCTGGCAAGCACATCTCAAGATTCGGGGAGGCCCTAAGCAGGTGTCCAGCCTATAAATACTAAAACCCTAAATTATCAGCACACTATTGTTCTGTTGCTGCTTTTCTGTCACTTGGTGTGTGCTACACATTCATTTGCATAGCTGAGCCCTGAGCGCAACCTCTTACATATTAAACAAATGGAGCTGCTGAGCATACAATTGGCGATCCTTTCTCATGATGCACAGGGGCTGAACTACTATTAGCCCCATGCCCTGCAGCAGTGGTTGCGAGAGCCAAGGGAGAGCTTAGGCAAAAGGAAGTACCGTGCTCCTTGGTGCATGCTGGGCTGAATTTAGGATGTCCACTTGTCCTACCATAGCACAATAATTTAAAATAGCTAAAAGCATTACTAAAACTATAAATGTTTTTAAAAATTTAAGTGTTGTAGCAAAGCAATTGTTTTTTAATTTTCTTGACTTAAAGAAAATAAATTTAACAAAATTGCCATACGATAAAGCTAAACTGAAGCTGATTGTCCTGGAAAAGATTTTCCAGGCTTCTGAGCATTCAGTCGATGAAGTATTACAAGCAGTAGAAATTCAAATGCTAAAATCATTTTACAATCATCTCCAGATTCACCACACCAAGAATGCTGGCTTTTAATGTATTCTTCATACTGAATCTCCATAGAAACATTAAACAGAAAGTAACTTGCTTTATAATGGCATGAATGACATTCAGGAGACCTACTTTCTAGAACATTTACCACTAATCCTGCTTTATTGGCACCATGTCAATATGGTGTTTTTCATTATTTTATCTATTGTCATTATAATTCTTTATCAGGAAGTACACAAAAATGAATCATTTCTACTATTTGTCTATAAAATATGATCTCTAATAATATCAGTAAGTGGTTATTAATTATTTGAAGGATATAATTAAACTTATTTTTGATGACTTTGTAAAATATCAATTGTAACTTTTTGTATCTAAGACATACCCATGAGGAACAAAGCAAACTTTAAAAATACAGCTCCAAAAAAAAAAAAAAATACAGCTCCAGAATAAGTGAAATGACACTTACTACAGGCAGTGAAATCTCTGTCTAAGCTGTAACAATGGAAAAGTAAAATTTACTTTGTACCATAGACCTATTAGGCTAAATGAACTTCTATTCTGTGTCCTACAGGTGTGCTTAGGTTTCTTATTTAAGCAGCAGAATTATTTCACTGACTGAAGTCAAGTGAACTTCTTTGAAAAAATGCATGTGATGGAAAACACCTACGATCCCAGGATCTGGAAATCTGCAGCAGGAGGATTGGACGTATGATCCCCGCCTGGGAAATTTAGGAAGATGAAATCTCAAAATTAGAAACAAAAGTAGAAAACAACTGAAGATGTAGCTGAATGTAAAGGCCCTTCGTTCCAATGCTAGTGACAGAGAGAGGAGACAGAGGGAAATTTTGAGGGTTTTTTTCTTTTTTTTTTTCTTTTTTTTTTTTTTTGTAATAGGAAATGTACCCATGACTCATGACCTCACACTTGCCAGGCAAGTGTTTGTGTCACTGAGCTAAATCCCCAGGAGGCAGAGGGTTTTTTTGACCTTGCTGAATCACTGAGGCAGGGTTCATACTTAGGATCCTCCTGCTTCAGCCTTCCAGATACTGGGATCACAGATGATTTTCATCACGTGCATCACTTCAAAGCAATTGATCCTACTGCAATAAATGAAATAATTCTGCTATTTGCATAGTATGTCAATTTTATGGTATCTTAACATAAACAGGGAAATCTGGAAACTGGATGAAGAATTCTATAAAATTTTTAATAAACTCTTCAAATTTAGCTATTATTCCAATCCATTTTGATTTTCATTTTTCTCTTAAACATTCATGGTCAAGGTGATTCTCTCTTCAAGATACCTGTGAAATTTCAGTCTGTTTGCCTTTGAAACAGTGATGATGGACAGATTCTTCACCATTTATACCCCAAGCTGCTCAGCAGGTAGTGGGTGGCTGAGTCCTTCGTCATCCCAGTACCTACTGACCCATGGCCTACTTGTCAGCAGCCCCAAATTAAATTAAATTTAACTAGCCTCAAATTAAAGTGGGCCATGTATATAGATAAAAAGGAAAAAGCCTTCATTCAAAGCTAGCTCTGAGGCTGAGGAAACTGTTTGCATGAAATCATGATGCACTGTGTAGAGGTGGGCAAGGGTTTTACAGTAAGGAATAGAGAGTAGAGGAGCAGGCAGAGACATTCAAATCTCCTCACGCAGTGGATCGCTGTCAGCCATCTTCAGCTCATTGTCCAGTTTTTCTAGAAAGGAAACTGAGCTCCAGCCACTTTGATGTCAGTATCTGCATATTTTTTAATCATCTGAACTGAGGAGATGTTGGGGAGCTGTTTATGCCCTAAGCCTCAGGAAGCCACTTCTCACTAAAGGAAACAAAGTGAAACATTTAAAATTTTAATTTCCGGTGCCACTTACAGTTCCCTTTCTGATTTCAGCCTGTGTCCTGAGGCCTCAGGTGTCACACCACCTGCCTGCTGTCCAGAGCGGGGCCTCTGCTTTGAGTCCTTTAAAGCCACCTGGAGCACAAGACAAGGGAAGTCAGCGCTTGAACCGCCCCCAATTAACTAAACTTCATGATGTGAATTATCAATGAAAGCCAAGCTCCGGAGATTTTTAACCACACTAACTTACAAGTTAGCAGAGCCTGGGGCTTTTAATCAGTCCTGCATCAGGGTTACCCTTCAAAACCTCAGCAGCTCTCCTTACTTTGGTAGGTCTGGCATACAGGTAACTCTTTGATTCTTGCTAATTGTCCCCCTTATCTCTGAATGCATTTTTAAGACACTGTCAATTAATCATAGATAGCTATGCAGCATGGTGGCCAGGAAACTTTCATACGTATGATTAATTAGAATACACGCTGCATTGCAGTGGCTGTGACACATAGTCACAGCTCTAGTTGTGTTAAATTTGAACAATATCAGATTTAGAAAGAGTGATTCTTATAGTCTGCTGTCATGTATAATCTTTTCTATTTAGTAGTTAACATCTTAAGTTGTTAGAATCTTGACAAGCAATGGTTGCAATGGCCATTACAGATTTTAATCTCTGTTTTATGCCATAAACAGACATAAAACCAGTGGGAAACCATAATGCAAATTTATTCTATGCCATAGACTTGAACTAAGAAACACAGGACCAGGTTAATGAAAGAAAGCCAATATTATTGTGAAGCAAGCTTTAGTTCTTCTAGAAATGTAATTAAGATGATTTTTAAACTACTGTGAATTCCCACTTAGAATAAAGCACACAATTTACTAAGATTATAATTTACTGACACCACTGTAATATTTTAGATACTCAGCAGAATCTAACCAATCTTGAATATAAGGTGAAAACAATGTTTATTTTACAATCTAAGAGTATAAATTTTTGAGCAGAGTGTTTCTTATTAACCCAGAGAAACATGGCTCTTGACAATGTATGACCATACAAACATGCAAAGTAACAATTCAACAAAACCGGTGACTTTCATACCATGTTAAGATAATGCCATAACTAAGATAGTTCTTAGTCAATTTCAAAGTTCTTGCCCTAGGTGTTTTGGGGGTTTTTTGTTTTGTTTTGTTTTGTTTTGTTTTTTGGTCTTTTTCCTTTCTATCGGTACCAGGGATCGAACTCACCACTGCCTGCTTGCAAGGCAGGCGCTTATGCCGCTGAGCTAAATCCCCAGCCCCTGCCCTAGGTTTTAATACATTATTTTTTGCGCTAAATTAGATACACCTGGTCAGAAATTTATGTCTCACATCAGCTCTGTTGCTAACTCGCTGTAATATGGGAAAAGATGCCTGATTAGGAACAATGCTGCCCACCAGGAAAAATGCAAAAGGAAAACTTCCGTACTCACAGGTGTTTGCTGTGGTGGTTAAGGAAAGGAGGAAGCAGCATACAAAAACCAAGTTTTAGGGAACATGTTTTACAAATGTTTTCAAGCACAGTTGCTTTACATTGAGTCAAGGACTGTTACAGAAACCAGGTGGAGTGAAGCCCCAGGAAACTGCCTGACATTAGTCAAAGAGCCTCGGCCTTCAGGAGCCCCACTGCTCTTGCTTGCCACCATCCTAACACAGACAAATGCAAAGAAAGCTGGTGTGGATATCATGTTGGACAAAGTGATTTCCGAGAATCTTTTTTTTGTACTCACAACTTCTTTTTTGCCAAGCAGGCAGCTACACTGCTGCACTAAACCCCCAGGCTCAGAGAACCGTTTTGAGGGCAGTTCCATGAAATCAGAGGGTGCCTTCTGCTAACATGCTACAATGTATCACAACCAAATGACCTTCTTCACGTCATGGGTAACTACAAATATTTAGAGAGATGCAACATGGCACTTTTAGTTCTGAGCACTTTGTGACAGAGCTCCTGACAGGCACCTTCAGTGCTCTGTGTTCCTGAAATCTTTCCATCTAAGTTTGTTCACCTCCAAGTGATAAAAGAACATTGAGCTCTATATTGCTTCACTGTAGCTCCCCAATCAATATTGGGACTGATCTCTGATGAAAATGACATGTGAGGGGAGGGCTGATAGTCACCTTTACTTTTGGGAGTGTTGTGTGTTTTATTCTCAGTGAGAACAGGGGCTTTCCTTGGGGATTCCTAACCACATTTATGGAAAGTGCATGTCCTCCCTGAGCCCACAGCTTTGGGACAGAGCAGGAAAGGGGCCACATCCTGTAGCTTCAGGGCTGCATCCCCTCCAGTCCTGCCGGGCTCCACTCACAGTCCTCATACACAATCTGCTTCGTGGACATATTTTACTGCTGATTCACACACTCACAAGGAAGCCCTAAAAGAACTGAGCCCAAGTGGCTTACAGAATTCTAATGGGCACCAAAGCCTGCTGCCCATTCTAGGCTAAAGGTAGTTACAGGAAGAGAAAGAGAAAAGAAACAAAAGCAAATAAAAGCATACCAGAGCAAAGCCAGCACAAATGAATACTGCAATCCAAAATAACTGCTAGACAAATAATTTTAACCTCTGAATCTCTTCTCAAGCCAATTAGTGTCCCCAAATGACAGCAACAGTTCCAAGGGACCACCAAGAATTGCACCCTCCTCACACAAATGGCCCTGATGACCACCTGATGTCTCAAAATGTATTACATCCCACAATCCCCCAACAGTGAAGGTCCTTACCTTGCTGCAGGAATGACCTTGGAGTAAATCCAAGCCGTGGGGCCAGTGGATTCTGGGGAGAACTTCCCAGCAGGAAAACAGGCACAAATCTCCCCCTCCCCAGCTCCCCAGCAGCCTTTTTCCTTTTCACAGCAAAAGGGGGAATCTTTTTAGGCTGCCTATGCCGTGAATAGGAAAGGAGGAAAATTCCTAGTTAAAAAAGTCATTCCTAGTTAAAAACGGTCTTGAGTTCAGGCCTTGCTAACAAAATAACAAAAAAAAAAAAAAAACAGTGACCCATGGTGTCCAGGGATACAGCTCAGGGACATGAGCACCTGCCTGGCAAGCATGAGGCTGTGAGTTTGGTCCACTGTCCCGAAAAAAGAAAGTAACCCTGGGCCAGAGATGTAGCTCAGCACCACACAGCCTGCCTGGAAAGCCCAAGGCCCGACTTCATTCCCAGTACCAATAACTAATTAATTAATTAATTAGGAAAGTAGCCCAGCAATAGCTGCCAGCACTACATCCCTGTTCCCAGCATGCATGCCTCTCAAAAGGCGGGGCCTGTGTCCCTTCATGCTCCCCAAACTTACTACACTCTTAGGTCCATAGGCTTAGGTTTCTCTGCTTAAGGTTGATGAAATTAGAGGAGGCCATGAGTTTGGAGAAAAAGGGAAAGATTTGCCCAAAGCTGCCTCTGTGGCATCATCTTCTCAGCATGGAGCTGGCCAGGCTCTTTCACAGTGAGGAGCAGAGAGGAGGGAAATGCAGGAGGGTAATGCAGGTCTCCACACCAGATTCCGCAGGGTTAGCCCTCCTCTGTTCTTTGTTCTCTTGCTTTTGTGCAAAGGAAACTGGGCCCCTGGCTTTCTGATGCTAGTATCTGCATATTTTATTTGTTTATCTGAACTCAGGATATGGGAGGAAGCTATGCATGCCCTAGCCTGAGGAAGCAACTTGTCTCTAAAGGAAAAAAGATAACTTTTACATTTTACTTTGCAATGCCTTGGATATATTCTGTCCTTTTTGAAATCTAAATTGTCAACATTGTTTCTTTTAAACAGGAGTTTCAGCTCTATCATTGACTCTAAAATAATTTTAGTTCTTTCCACGTGGTTTTATTTGAGCTCCAGTAAGATTCTTTTACATTCATTAGTTTTGTTTTTTGTTTTTGTTTTTTCTGGAATAAGTATCTTTGACTTTGAACTTGGTGTTCTCTGTTCTGAGTATTTTTAAGAAATTCCACAAATTTTCTTCATTGGTTTAAGAGAATTGCAGGGCACTCTTCACATTCACTGACATTCCACCATCTCAGATTTTGGTCCATGTATTGGGAAACCTGAGATTTCAGCTTCGCTGATGACCTCACTTGTAATCTTCCTCTGGGTCAAATCCAGCCTTCATTTTAAGGTGGCTGCACCTTCGTAGTTGGACCCGACCTCCCCTTCACTTGGGCAGCAAGGCAGCAGCCCTTTCTTCTCTTCAGTTAGGAAGAGGGGTCCTTAGGTGCAGTCTCCTACTAGGTGATGAGGCAATGTTTCAAAGGGACATTAAAAAGTGCAGTGTTGCTTGGCCTTTCTGCCCACCTGTCAGTCCAGCAATGCGCTGGATGAGGTTCCCCTCCACCTTCTCCCTGACTGTTCTCCAACTGACAGGATGTGTGATGAGACTGGAGCCCAGTCTTGAAGATGTCTGTGTCCCAGCTCCCTCCTGGCATCCAGGCTGGGAAGCTACATGGGGAGATGGGTAGGAAGGAAATTCCAAGGCTTCTCTAGCCATTGGGGACAACTGAGAACACCTGTGGTGCCTTGGTGTACAGTTCAGTGACGGCAGGATCCCTGCCTGCCTGGTGCATGATTGTAACCAAACTCTTCTTGTGCTCCTGCCTTTGCATATTTCATTTCTACATGAGAAATAATCCCAAAAATTTTGGTGTAATTTTTACATTCGTCAGTGGTTTCTACCCAATGCAAATATAATTTTTAATTATCTTCAGGTTTGCATTTTTGCATACTGACCACAAGTGATGTTTTATGAGTTCTCTTCCAGCCTGCAAATCCTCTTAGCATTTCTTGTGGACCAGGTCTGCAGGAAAAACTGCTCTGGTTTTGTGGTGAAAAAACTGAAAGTTCATTTTGTTTCTTTCACATTGGAAAGTTATTATTCCACTGTCCCTGTGACTTGCTTATATTTCATGAGCTGTAACCCATCATTCTAATTTTATTTCTTTTATTAGATTAGGTATTTTTTGTTGGTAGCCTTAAAGATTTTATCTTTTATACTTTGATTATGGTGCCACAAGACTCCCTTTTATTTTACTTGCAGTGATTAAAGATTATTAAAATGCTTGAATCTTGTGGATAAGCTGCTTGATAATTTTCAGAATATTCCTAACTCTCTTACCCTTGCAACATTTCTTCTGCTGTAACTTATGTCTGTCTGAGTCTCTCATCATAGGTTTCTTACAGGGCTCAGATGATCTCATCATTGGTTATAAATGTCTCTTCTGTTTTTGATCAGATGATTTCTTTTGTTCCATTTCCAAATTCACCAGTCTTTCCTTCTACTGTGTCCAGTGCGTGCTAATGTGTCTGAGATAAATTTTATTTACAATACAGTAGATTTCAGTTTGAAAATGTCTGACGTTTATATAGCTTTATACAAATTTACTCTCTATTCTTGAATTTTATTTATCTCCACTTGTCTGAATCCATTAAAGTTATTAAATTATCATTTTAAAGTTCTTGCTATCTCATTGTACCTGTACAAAAGCTACAGTTTTGCTTCAGGGAAATTCTTCTTGATGGCAGTCAGCATCTCCTGAGATCCAGCCATGTTGGAACTTAGGGCTCTGAGCAAGAAAGCAACCCTCCCCTTCCTGGTAGGCAGTCATGCCTGGAGTAAGTGGCAGGCGAGCCAGGAAGAGAACCAGTCAGCCTCTTCCGTGAGCCTACCAGTGCATAGGCTGAAAATCATATGTCCAGCTCTCCTCCCCACCTTTAGCAGCTGGGAGCCAGAGGTTGAGCATCTCATGGGAGGATGACCCTATGCAATATAGCAAAATGAGAGATTTCCTTCTGCCATTTCTTTGATGGCAAATATTGTTTTCATTGTTTTGCTTTGTTCTGATTGTTTCATTCTATTCAGTATTATGTTTTGGTTGGTTTTATAGTGTTCTTGATTTTGGTTTGATTTTACTATATCTGATTGAATGGACAACTATTGTGAGGGTACTATGTACCTATTACTGTTATCCCAGTATCCTGCTGTGGAGTTTTGTACCAATTTCACTGTATTGTCTCATAAAAAAGAAAGACATTCTTCCTGAGTGTAGAGCGAATAGGTCCCTTAAAATGTTCTCTAATTTTTCATTGTATCTTAGACACTATTTAAAGAACCATGGAGACCACATTACATAACTGCTCACAGGGACTTAGGCTGAGACAGTGCAGTTTGCGGCTGAGCAGGGTTGGGAGAGCTTCAGTGTGTCTTCAGGAGCAGCTGCCCCCTGCTCCCCTCTGTCATTCAGCTGTCACTGCCCTGCACTCGGTTTTGTCCTGAGTACCACAGGGGTCACTCAAATTGTCTCCTGTACTGTCTTCAATAAACTATTTTGTCACTATATCCTAATTTTTTACAAGTTTTTGCAATTTAACTTTAAATTCCTCAAAGGCAGTAATCCTGTAGTTAATGACTTACACAGATGCATCCAAACATAGAAATGTACTCTTACACATGATTTTCCATAGGTATATAGTAACCACTGCACTGTATGAGCTTGGCTTAAGAGGGAACCACACATTTCAATCCTTTGTATCCAGGCCCTGGGTCTGTGGTTTACAAACGCTAAGGATGCAACCCAAGCTTTCAGGGCTGTTGCATAAAGAAATGCAAGAAGTAGCGACACATCTCTGCCCCAAAGCTTCCAGAGCATCAGGTGTGGCTCCAGCCTCCTAAGGTGCTGCTTTACCTTCTGCTCAAGAGACAATGCACTCTGTGTGGAAAAGTGATTCTTAGCAGATGCAAATTTTAGATTAAATCTGGGCATTCCACATATGGTGTTAGCCTTGAAGTACAGATTTTTCCCAGCATGAGACAGTTTGCAGAGGCTTTGGTGCGCTGAAGGGTGAGGAATCAGAAGAAAGCAGGCCACTGATTGGGGAAGTTACCTCTAGCCTCTGAGGGCTGAGCAGTCTGCCAGGAACCGGTCAGGAACGGCACTGCTGATCCCATGCCTATTCTTAAACATGACTCTTGGTGCTTGCTCAGGACACCACGTGTGAATGCAGCCCCTCTCTCCCAGTCAGATGCCTGAATGTCCCTTGTGCTCTGACTCTACCCCCAGAGTCCTTGCTCCCAACACAACTGCTCAGTTACTCCTGGGACTAGAGGCAAACCCCAGCTCATAAACTCTATGGCTCCTGGTTCTCATCTGTGAGGCAGGAACACTGATATCCGACACCCAGGGTTGCTGTGAGACTCAGTGAAATCCCCATTGCAAAGCATCTGCATTTCCCAACCTCAGGAGACCTCTCCACAAACACCTGGATGGTGCACCCTGGGAGCAGGCTGTGCCCAGCACAGCAGGGGCTTGCTTTCCTTTCCTTCCTTCCTCACCCCTGTGTCCACTCAGAGTCCAAGGGAAAGGAATCACCTGCCCCTCACTTTCCCCATGTTGGCTGAAGCTGTCTGTGCAGCTCAGCCAGCTGCTCTCTGCCCCCGTCCCTAAAAGGACTGGGACAGTCTGACTCAGTGTTCTCCTGCTAGGCTGGTGGGGTCTTCGCTGGCTGTGCAGCTGCCACTCTCCATTCCCACAGGAGCCCAGGCAGTAAGCACAGGCCCTGCCTTCCCTCCAGTCACTGCAGAGGCTCCTGTTTCTGAGTAAAGGAGGGGACACCATGGCTTGGCAAAGACCAGAAAGAGAGAGACCCAGCCCTGTATTTGCATACCCAGCATTCAGAAGATTCCCTGGGCTCAGCCCTGCCCCTCACTGACAGAGACCTGCAACATAGAAACACCAAGTGATCCCTCCCCAGCTGCCCCAGCCAAGAAGCTTGGGCCCTGTGCTCAGCTGGTGAGGGTTGACCTGGTGCCCAAGAGGAATCCCAATGCCCCGGCCATTCTGGGAAGCCCCTTGGGAGGAAGAAGAAAAAGTCTTTTTATTAACTGAGCTGCAGGGGTTAGGGCAAAAGGGCCATGTCATTCCATAGTGGCTGGAGAAGGCTCCTGGGGCATGTATCATGATTTGAATCGCTTTGGGCAACTTCAACATCAAAAAATAAAAACCTAGTGGAGAGAAAGAGTTCACATTTCAAAAACCAACTATTGAGCCAGAGTAAAGCAGGATAAAGCTGGCTGCCTCCTAACTCCAAACTAAGAGCTGGGTGATAACATTTCCTTTCCTTCAGAACAATTGTTATTTTAATTATTCATTTATGACAATTTCTTACAGAGTGTGTTGGATTATTCGGGTGCAATAGAAAAGTAAAAATATAAAACAAACAAGTTTATTGAGGTGAAGATGTGGAAAGGAGCACATAACCCATGGCGGCTGGGCTGTCTCCTTCAAGGAGGA